TAGAGGCTTATGAGAATTTGAGAATTTACAAAGAGAAAACTAAACTGTTTCATGATAATTTAATTTTGAGAAAACAATTTGTTGTTGGTCAAAAAGTTTTATTATATAATTCTCTTTTAAAATTTATGCCTGGAAAACTCCGATCCCGTTGGATTGGTCCTTTCATTGTTACTAATGTTTTCCCCTATGGTACAGTTGAGATTAAAGCTTTAGATACTAACAAGATTTCAAGGTAAATGGCCATAGGTTGAAAATATTTCAAGAAGGTTCAAGTGTTGTCCAGGTGGAGGGGATTGACCTGCAATTCCCTAAGTATTTACCCGACTGAAAGAAAATGAGGTTGTCGAGCATAACGACATAAAACAATTGCGCTTTTGGGAGGCAACCCAAGTTTAAAGTTTCTTTCATTTTATTCAAATTTTACTTGGTTTCATTTGTTTTCAGTTTGTTTTCATTAAACAAATAAAATAAAATAAAAAAACAAAAAATTAAAAAATCAGAAAAATAATAATAACTTAAGCATTTTTTTTTTTGTTTATTTATCCTTTTTCTTTTTCAGGAGCTCATTTGCTCATCGCAACTACTCTTCATTATTCCCATCATTGGCGATTGCTTTCACATCATGAACCATGTAGCTACTTGTGGTATCAACTCCAAGTCTTCACATCTCAAAAGAAATTTTCAGGGAGCTTCCTAAATAGTTGAGTTGGTTCTTTATAAACTTGAATGATGTTTGACTAGAAAATTTGCATGTCTACGTGCTACTATGTTTTCTATTTTTTTTCTAGCTCTGCATTTTTTCTAGTTTGCACTAAAAGATGTTGTTCCAAATTCCTTGTTCACTTCTTATTGTGCAAATACATTGTCTTACATTGAGGACAATGTAAAAATTAGGTGTGGGGGAGGGTTTTATTGTTTTCATAAACCCCTGCATTGGTTTTAATGTCAAAATCCCCAATTTTTTCAAAAATTTTGGCTCTCTATATGTGCTAATTAGTCAATTTATTTCAAATAATTTAGAACCAAAACATTTTTGTGTATCCCATTGGTTTTAATGGTTAAGAATGTGCCATATTTGATGCAAATTTAACCCTTTCCGTGAGGTTCCATAGCCAAAGAGCACACTTGCTCAATTTTCGAGTGTTATCATTCATAGTATGTTACTACACTGTTTTGCTCATGTCATACATTTCAAAGCTGCATTGATGAATTTATGCAATAAATGATAAGGGAATTTAGGTTTCACCAAGTTTAGCTATTGCAAAATCATACCTTAATTGTTTACCCCTAGTAACCATTTCAAGCTGGGCCTATTTTCGAGCTCAACCAATATAATCCTGAGCCAACTTTTTATTTATCTTTTCACCTGTTATTCAAAGTATGTATGATCACTGCTTGATTTTGGTTTGTGGAAAGTGGTTGTGCGGTGGCAATAATGGTATGGTAGGTTTAGTATGATAGGATATGTGTTCTTGTTTTAAGTCCAATAATGTCTTAGTTCTGTATATCCAAAAAGTCAGGACAGTGCCAAAAAAAAATGTTATGAAAAAAAAATGAAATGAAAAAACAAAATGAAAAAAAAAAGCAATATGCTGAAAAAAAAAAAAAGAAAAGAAAAAAAGGCACTTATGTTCTGTCAAACATAAGAAAAAGAAAGAAAAAAAATAATAAATGGGGTTTGGTGTTTACAATATTTGAATATCTTTTTAGAACACCATAACTTGGTCATCAAAAGTCTTAGTGACTTATGTTTTATGTAATAGTTCTTTTAGTAGATTGGGATTTGGTTTGTAATAGTATATCAATGTTGCCATCGTATGGGTCATCTGGAATGATGGTGAGAATTGAGTATGTGGTCTACATATTGTCGGTAACTTAGCCTTCTTATCCATATTTATCCTACCCTTTGAAATTTCCTTGACCCATTACAACCCTATGAAAGACCTTTTTGATGTTGCATGATTGTTCATTTAGTGCTAAGAGGATTTGATACATGACAAACCTATAGAATGCATACTATGTTTATGATTGAGTGCTTACTTATAAATATCCTTTTCTTTTGAGTGTATTGAGTGAATCTTTGTGAGACATTAAAGTTTAGTACGTTCTGAAAATGCTATTAAAATGGGTACACATGTTTTCAAAAAGATGAGTGATGCTTTGCTTGTTTTACAAACTATTATCTCTGCTGAAATTTTCAAAATGCTGATTCGTAAAATTTTGAAAAGACTTTAGCATGCTTGAGGGCAAGCATAGTTTTGGTGTGGGGGAATTTATAATTATAATAAAATTCATTTTATTATAATCTTCTAGTCCTAAATTGGTTATATTTTAGTGATTATTAATGGATTTTGTTATGACTTTGTTGTTAGGTACCAAAAAATGAAAAGATGGACCATTTTGGATTTTTACGGCCATTTTACAAAGTTTTACGGAGTTAAAAGATGAAGAAAATTCCAGCTGCAAAGAATATACACAAATGGATTCCTAGAAGATTCTTTTTACCAAGTCAACCATCCAAATCTTGATCTCATATTCAGTTGTAGAGAATCATGTAAAAAAATACTGATTTAGTGGAAAACTAGGATGAGATTTGATTTGGATTTTACTCCCATTTCTTTGGGATTTTTTTTCAGCCATAATGCGCTATAAATAGTGGTCTCCTCAATTGATAAAAGCACCCCCATAGCTTGCATTTTTTGGATGCTACTACTGTCTCCATTTTTGCCACCATTTTCATTTAGCCTTTTGTTTTAATTTTTTTACACCTTTAAAGATGTTTCTAGTCATCATGAGTGGCTAATTTTCTTCATTTGGTTCAAGGATTTTTATTCTTTTATATTATATGTGAGACTACAAGTTTCATTTTATTTTCTTTTTAATTTTGATTCAAGTACTTATTGATTTTGATTTATTTTTATGAGAGTAGATACTTGATTAATCTGAAAATTTAATCAAGTATTTTCTTCCTACTGCTACCAAATTGTTTATGTTGTGTTATCGTCTTAAATATTTGGCACTAAGTAGTACATTAGCAGATTATGCATATTGGTAGTGACACGTTGAATGTGCATGATTAGTCTAACTAGGGGATCAATAGGACAAAAATCTTTTAATTACAGTTATCTCAATTATTTTAATTTTTTTTTTGTTCAACTACATTTTCAAAGATTTTATTGCTATCATAATTTAATATGGAACGTTATCGTGCCCAGTTAGATTATGATAAGTTTTGATTAGGTGTTGCGCTTGGTCAAATATTTTTTTGGAAAATATAAGGTTTTTTTTACAGTTATCCTATTAAACCTACGGTTGAATGCTTGAGTTGTAGAAAAATCATTTTTAGTCGATGATCTGTAATATATTTGAAAAAATATTCCTTGAACCAAGGTTTCCATTCTATTAATTTTTCTTAAGTTTATTTACTTTAAATTTTGTCAATTTTATTTTGAAGAAAGAAAAAAATCCCCCCCATTTTGTTACTTTTACAAAGCCAAGTGTCAACAGTCGGCTCTCTTGGGAGTTGACCTGATTCCACTGTTTCTACAATTTAATTTTAGTCTGTTTAGAATTCAGATTAATTTTTAGGGGTCTCGACAAACCCGTCAATTATCCACGAAGCGTTGACAGACCGTGGGAGAGCCATTACTAGGGGTGTTCACGGTTTGGCTCAAACCAATGGAACCGTCCAATCCGGTCATCGGTTTCGGATTAACGGGCGGATTATAATTATATTTTTAAACCGACGGATTGAAAAATTAAAAACCGGTCAATCCGGTCCGGATTACGATTTGGCATTGTCAAATCGTCTGTCAATCCGGACCGGACTATATATATATTATAAAACAATAATATATTGGTTTTGTATATATAGCGTCGGATAGAGACTTTTATCGAAAGTGCTAGGTTGTCTTATTGGCATTGTTGTTGTTCTCTCTACATTAGACCTTGCTAAAGGTTGTGTGTTCGAATCTCCCATGGACTATTTTTTTTTTTCCTTCCAAGAAAAGCCTCCAAAAAAAAGGCTGAAAAAGACCCAAAAAATTTCAAGAAAAGCCCCAAAAAAGGTTCAACAAGAAAAAAATGTTTAATTTTTTGCCCAAAATGAAAAAGTCTAATCAGAAGCCCAAGCCGCCAATCCGCCCAAACCAAACCGTTAAAAACGGATTGGAATAGACCGAATTATACACCAATCCGGTCCGGTTACGGATTGAAAATTTTTCAAACCGTAATGAACGGTTTGATTACGGATTGCTATCAATCTGAATCCATTCGGACCGTAAACACCCCTAGCCATTACCCACGGCCTATTCTCTTATGAGAATTTTTTTGTAGGAAAAACCGTGGGTAAGCGAGTTATCCATGGCCGCTTAGTTCATTTACCCACGACTTGCCTTTCGTGGGTACTGGCCTGTTTTTTTTGTAGTGACTAATCAATCGTGTTTAGAATATTTGGAAAGCAACCAGCCACTTTTAAAATTTACGCTGAAATATGAGGCCGTAGGCTTTTGTCAAATACTTCCGATTTCTAATAAATTAAGCACGGAAAAAGAAAAACACAAAGTGAATTACGTGAAAATCATTCTTCAAGGTCCTCTGTTTGCAGTAACTTCTGACGAAGCCACTTGCATTCTTCACCCCTAGTGCACCTATGCTGTTGGAAGAAACAAACTTCTATTCAAATGGATTTTTCAACGAAATAAAATGCTATTCTAAACCGGTAAACCGTTATGCAAATTCTGGTCTTTCTCAACCGTTTTTCTCGTTTGATTGAAAAAGAAGAAGAAGAGAAAATAATCTTGTTCCCCCTCCTCAATGAAATAGGATCATGAATTGCAATGCAAAACAACCTGAAATTATTGTTGTTTATTCATAAATTGTACAGCAAAAGGGTAACAACTTCAAGTAATTAAAAACCTGGTTCTGATCATGACTCAACTAAGGCAAATAGATTCATGTGCTAAATCATTCGGTGAATAAGTTTCACTAGAAAGGAGGAGGTAAAAAGCAAATGGGGGATCTAAAGAAACAAAATTCACCTGGAACTATTGCCTTTAAACTGAGGGACATAAGCATCAAACCTGCTTAAATCCACAATTGTTGTTGGCTGAAGTAGGAAAACCATAAAAATAAAAGTAAGATCCCGTATAGTAATTAATAAGACGAAACCATATAAACATTACATATACAGATGCATAAATTTCTTTAATGTAAATTTCTTTTACGATTTCTTTCAATCCAACACATGTCTTTTTAGATTTTTTCAAATGAATCAAAAGGCTCAATTTCTCCTGAAACTGACTAGAGGCATCACATGACATATAAACTCGTGTAACATAATACTATGTGACTGCACATCCTTGATCAAGTGCTTGAAAAATAAGGGAATACCAAAACATAAGCATGCGCTCGTCGAAATGATTTATTGTTTATGAACCCTGTTCTCTGGTTCCACATTAAGGCTTTGTTATCACCTCCAACAATTCCTGAAAGTTTCTGGCTGAACTTCCATTGGGTAATTTAACAGCATCAGTGGCCAATCCCTTGAGCAATTTGACATTCTCTTTGATTTCCTTGCCCTCCTTTTCACCATCTAAAATGAGTTTTATAGCATTGATTGTTCCATTCTTAGTGAAAACCCCATCCTTCACTCTCATTCCAATCCTCCATTTCAGCTCCACCATTGCACTATTCAAGCCGTGATCCCCGAAAAATGGCCTGCAAATCAAAGGGACACCATTTGAGATGCTCTCTAAAATGGAAATCCAGCCACCATGTGACACGAACACTCCAACTTTCCCACTAGCCAGAACTTCCATTTGTGGCGCCCATGAAACGAACTTTCCGTATCCGCTCGTCCGATCTACGAATCCAGCAGGCAAACTCTTCCTAGCATGATCCTTCAGTGACCATAGAAATGGAGTTTTGCAAGTTTCCAATGCCTCTGCTAATCCTACCATTTCATCAGGAGGTGGAATGCAAACACTTCCAAAGCCAATGTACACAACTGATGCATCATCCTGTTTTTTCAACCACTCGAGGCATTCGTCGTTGTCATAAACCCGAAAACTTGAGGTTTTCTTTGAGGCTGCTGCCATTGAAGGAGTAGGGATAATTTTCAGGACTTTTTGGAGCTTGGATTTCAGGTCTAATGTGAGGGCTGGATCTATCTCTTCAAATGAATTCACCACGACAGCTGTTGCTCTGGGCAGATTCAGGGCCATATTGTGAAGCAGAAGTGCCAATGGTGATTGTTCATTATCCAACAGAACTTCTCTGGGCATGTCATTGATGCTTAAACCTTCAAAACCCGGAATCATTTCAACTCTTTTCCCTGAAAATATCAATAATGAGAGAGAAATTATACGTGAAATGACATAAGACTAACGAAAGTATAGTGGGAAAAAAAATGTAGGCCATCGGCGCGCAACCACATATACGTAAAAGAGTATAACATTATTTCATGGGATTGTAACACCCCAATATGACTTGAAACATTTTTTTTCGCGAATCAACCCGCTCTAATACCACATAAAACCATGTCCAGTCAAAAACAATTTGGTAATGAGTGGAGAGGCTTATGGAATTCAACATTGGACAGTGGACACAACAAGGGATTAGAGCGCAATCTTCAGATACCGTTTGCGGCGACCAATCTTCGGATATCATCAGTGTAAAGATGAGCAGATAAAGAGCAAGATGCAGCAGGCCAAAAGGGTATCCATGGAACTCCAATTTTCTGTGCCAAATCAGCGGCAAACCAAAGAAAAGCATCAGTCAACAAGCAGCTTATCTTGACCCCTGTATCCTCCTCTGCTTCCTTCATAGCCTTCTCAAAATTGCCAGGAGTTGCGTTTATGAACATCCCAATTTGTTCTAGAAGTGCATTTCCTGTAAAGACATGATCTTTAGGTACGCCATCCGAAACATTGTAGGCCTTGATGTTGGTGAATTCGTCGTCGTCTTTCGCACCTGAATAGATTGGTCTGTTGGATTCTGCAGTGCCGAGGATTGAAAATTTGACATTTTCAGGTGCAGAGGCCGTGATTCTTTTCACGAGATTGAGCAGAGGAGTAGCATGTGAGCCGAAGGGAAATACAAAAACGGCAACATGCCAAGAAACCCGCATGTTTGTTTAAAAAAATTTTTGATTGTTACACTAGCTTTCTTATTCAGAAATGAGTTCTTTTAAACTCCCGCCAGTCCTATTTATAAGGTGCGAGAGTTCATGAGTGTCGGTCGAAGTTTTCTTCTCTAATAACTAATCTCATTTTGCACGCATAATCGTATTTCCATAATGAAATAACGAAGAGAAGCTTTGTGAATATTCCCTCCTCATTATAACGCATTTTGATTTATTCTAAGATTCGCCTAATAAGTTTTTCTAATTGACAAAAAACCTTTAAAATGTATGTTTTGAATTATAGGACAAATTAAAATGCCTTATATAAGAACTAGAGGGAGCATAAGGAATTCGGAGCCGGGAGAACAGGCTCCAAAGAGCTAGTTCCAATACCGAACCCATTAAGTAAGTACGAATCCACGTCAACCTAAAATCTCAAGCTAATAAGTTTTGGGAAGATACTCTTATTAACTGCTCTCTATAGCTCACATATATCAATTTGGGACAACGAACGTATTCATAAACTCAACAGCGAATCTGAAGCAATCTAACACTGAGCTTGCTACTGTACATCTTGGAATTCAGGAAGCTCATGCTGTCGCACATGCATGCAGACGAACTTGTCCAAGCTGGCTGCTAATCTTGATCCAGCTGATTCTCCCCTGCATTTTTAAACCCCGGGTGGTGCTTCTAGAAGCTGATTTGACTTGCTAAGTACTTCATTAAAACTATAAATCCATGGCTAACCTAGCGGCGTCCAAATGAAAGAAGGTCCACCAAACGTGCTTTGATTGTCTTCCGAGACTAATCCTTACTCCAGAATCCAGACAGTTTGCATTCCTTTGAATCTGCGTAGTGAATAACTCTGGTTAATTAGTTAATAGTCAGGTTAGTACACCGGATAAGTTAGAGAAGAGTATTGGTTAATTTTTGTGCATTTCGGAGTTTAGTGAGTTGGAAAATATAGTCGCAGGATGCAACCTCCATCAATGGCGTTTTCCTCCTTTTTAGCTTCAGAAACTAGTTATGGAAATCTTCCTAAATTTGGGACGGAGAGAGTATAGTTTCATCTAAATTAAGAGATGTCATTCCCTCAACTTTAATACACTGGTAGTAGTAGCCGAAGGCATTGCTGATTGAGTGCTGCATGTCACATCTCTGCATTTGTACTGGTCGAGGTAATTGATGTCACAAGCATTTACTCATGAATTCTCGAATCATCCTGCTAAAATAAAAACGAGGAAATGAGTCTCACTCTCAACCATTGTAGTTTCGGTTCCTGGTTATTTGTTTATCTGTATGCAAACTTTCAAATGATATGCTCCTTCCGTCCTGAAATTATTGTTCAGTTTGAATTTTTCATTTTCAGTACAAATTGAACTAAAAGTGAAAATCCAAACTGAATAATAGTTTTGGGAAAGAGGATAGTGAGACGTTAATCAGAAAATAATGCGAAGTGATCGTTTCCCTCTGGTCCCAAACTGAAATACTACAGTCAAAATTTGTCGCTGCCCTGCTAACTTAATTTGCACGAGGGCCAAACAAAATAACTCAACCAAATGGCGACAAACCCAAATGGCGAATCATCTCAAGGTTCCGGACACATTTATCGTTTTGGAAATCAATGAGGGCGGGCTGGCGACAAACCCTAATGGTGAACAGTCTCAAAAATCAGTTTTCCAGGATGCGGGTAGTAGATGTTTCTGGGAAATTAACTTAATTTGCCGTGTCGGCGGGCATATTTGCTAGGATTAAAGACAATCCGAAAAGTTAGATTGAGTGATTGTTAACTCCAAGCTGATAATCAAGAGGTGACCAACGTTGTAACAACATATGGCCCCTTGGAGGTAAATGACATTCGAGCTCTGATAGGTAGAGCTAATAATTGTACTACTAGGAAGGTTGAATGCAGACATTGTCCAGTGTCCACAGCCTAACTGAGACCTTTGCTTGAAACAGTCTCAATCGTGCAACGTTTCCTATGTTTCCAATACATAAGTACTACATTAAAGTATCAGCAAAAAAAGAAGGGAAATTTTCTATCTAGGGAAACTCATGGAAACACTATGACACAAAAGATCAAAACCTAAAAGGTTTGTGTTAAAAAGATCTAAGTTACCAGCAAAATAAAAATTAAAAATGAAGATCGATAGGGATTGCAAAGGAACATAGTGATCCTTAAGTAATGTATGGTCAGCATTCTGGGTTCAGAAATGAAGACAGACGATAGCACAATAAAAGGTTAAAAATGAAAAGCATTCATGTTCCAACTCTTATTCTTTTAAAAAAGCTATCGTTTGATTAAGGAATGCACCTCCTCCTTTGGTTGTAGCAATGCAATCCAATTCCTGCAATTGATTGATATAATTACAACTCTTCCGACCTCCATACCATATGACTGCAATGAGATTCCAAAAACAATAGCAAACACTGCAGCCATATAAATCGAGCTGTGTTGGTGATTTCACAGCCGAGTGATTGTGTATCCAATGTTCCTTCTATCATGGTATACATTTATCGAAGGCCTGAGAAAATGTGGAGCTTCTATTCCTCTGCCAATTTATCAAATTTCTTTGTCATGTTCTCATCCTCATCTCCTTCTCCTTCTAGAGGAGAAAAACTACTGAAATCATCATGCTGTTCAAGTTTGCTTCTGATTCAGACTAACTAGCCGTGAACCTTAATCTGTGAAAGCCCCACGTAAATAGCAATCCCCAGGGTGAAACTGATCGCTATAGTACCCAGCGTATATGCATATGCTCTCCAAAGGGAGCCACCACGTTTCAATTTGTAGTGCTCGGCCACCAATGTTGAGACAGTGCTTAGGCAGCCACAAAATCCTAGCTGCAAAGCAGCTGCTATTGTGTAAAATGTATCATTCTTGACCTGTACCCAGAAAATTCAATGTTAAGAGATTAAAGGGTGTATAAACTTGGACAAAATGTGGAATGACAGGAAGTCATCCAATTATCATGTGTAAAGACCAGTAAAGCAGGTTGATTGAAAGATGGAGCTCATTTCCAAGAAAGCTTACTTCCTTCTTTAGTGCTGCTAGAGCAGCCATTATTGAGGCAGCAGAAACATTTGCCACAAGTGTCCCAAAAGGAACCCATTTTAACCAGGCTTTTTCACCTATGCCGTCATGGTCATTCCAAACACAAGCCAAGAAATACCTAGTCCAAACACCAAACGGTACCACAATGCATGCCAACAACAGTTTAACATCATAATCAGCATGATTGAACTCTCTTATTCCAAGAGTTGTGCAAGTTCCCAAAACTATAATGAATACAACGACCAGAAGAAGAGTAGCAGTCAAATAGTTGTAGTTTTGCAAATCACATCCACCCTCATGGCTGAAAATTTTAAGCTTAGAGCACCTTTTCTTTCCTTTCCACTTTTCAGCAGTTTCAATACCTCTCTCAATCATGGCCTCAACAAGAACTACACCTGTTTTGATATAAATTTAGACAAAAGGTTAGCACAAAATCGGGCCTGTTTTAATATAAATTTAGACAAAACGTTAGCACTAAAATCGGGAAAAACTTCGTTCCCCTTCTAATTCAACAAGGCCAGGAAAAAAAACAAACCACTAGCGTTACAAATCCAAAGCAAATGGCATACCTAAGAAAATGATGCCTACTGAAGTTACCCACTGGTGTTCAATAGTAAGTTCAACTAACTTCTGGTTCCAACCACTAAACGTAGTCAAGCTTCCAAGGAAACCAGTTGTCAGACCAACAGCCAAATTGTCTGAAATGCTAGCTATATCTCCTTTGAAAACCACTCCCAACCAACCCATTAAGAACGAACCTACCTAAAGATTGGCAAACAGAACACAATTATCGCTATGTACTAACAGGAAAAACAGATTGAGAACAAGATTTAGAAAAGGGAACCAGTTTACAGAAAAATAAATAAAAAGTGAACCAATTTGCATAATGAATTGCATTTCGGAGGTATAAAGAATAAGTTTCCAAATAAACAGACCACAACCCTTGCGCTCAATAGTTGGAAGTTAATAGTAGCATGTAATAAATTCTGTGGGTTAATAATAAGAAACTTCCTAGCCTAACTTTAATGTGTCAATTCAGAAGAGGACTAAGCTAGAGTAATGTAAACCTCGACCAATATGGCTGTGCTTCTCATACTTCATTAACCTGCTAAGGTAAGAATATAAAATTCCTATCAACAAAGAGTCTTTGTAACTGCATTTTCAAGTGCTTCTGCATAGACCACCATCAATGCACTTTCAACTAAAAGCAAAAAGCAATAGTCAATCGGGCTACTACCTGCACCTCAGAAAAACACGGTGCCGTTTCCCAGTAAATTACTCTGCAGATTACAGTCGAATTTTTAAGAATAATTTTTAACCTATGATATGGCTCATGAGAAACTCATTAATGTGTTTCTCCTATCAATGGGTTGACATTATGCAATAACAATAGCAAATGAGTTTTGAGAATATTTTCAATTAACCAAACTCCGAAGAACTGGATACACGCGCGGGGAGAGAGAGAGAGAGACCGACCATGTTTGGAAGGAGATCATAATACAAGGGGCTGTCATCCCTTGTAAAACTAAGAACTTCAGGTCCAAATAGTTTGTCAAGGTAATACCTCAATATCATCTGCAAAATAGAAATCGATTAAGACTAGACATACTTAGGAGCAATTTCTGTACACAGACTTATTTTCAGCCAACAGCAGCATAAGGGATTGTGAGTAGTCGAGAGCACATGTGTGGTTTCCTGATGATTCAAAGCAAATTTTGACGCTAAAGTTGAAGACTGAATGATCTAGCTCGTCAAAAAAAATTATTTGTACACTTTACTTATAGCTAGCCCTGACATGGAAGGCTTAGCAAGCTCCATTCCTCGACGCCCTTTGGCAGCATTGTGACTACCGTACCCAAAAACTCCTAACTTTCGTCTGTGGTGGTACGAAGCTAAAAGATCTATAACTTTAATTTCTGTCACAAAACAAATATTCTACATCAAGTTTTACACAAAATGGGACTATGAATTATGACTAGGACTAATTCTTTTTCCTAAGTTCTATTAAACTACAATGTCTAACTGCTCATCAGATGATCCAACATACACATGCCTTACTAAGATCAAGGAAATCCAAGATGCAACAACAATATACACTAATGTCTATAATAACAGGAAGGGTAGCCTGAACATTAGCAACCAAATGAGGTGCCAAAAGATCAAATTACACAGGAGACAGAAAGTATAAAGAATTTGAATTACAGCAGTTTGAACTAAAATCAACTACCTAAAACTCTGTCAAATTAGAATAGTTGCCATGAGTATTACTTTTTAGCAATGATATTTGAGTTTATATCAAATACACACAAATACTCACACACACAGAGACAATGAAAAGAAGTTACATCAAACTGGCCAAGCAAACTGTAAAACTTATCATGCACATCAAGCGCAGCATTTTTCCTCATGCCAACAAGCATTTGTTTGCAAAACGGGATTTATCGCACATGAGTTTGGCAATTTACAACATAATCTTTTCCAGCAGTTGGAACATCAAGAAATTTTTATTATCGAAGTATACTACAGAGAAGCCTGAAGATCAAGAAATTTTAGATATCACACTGACCAACAAAAGAAGCATGAATTTACATCTTTGCGCATAGCAAAATCACAGGTAAAAATGTAGCAGTGTCAAACCACAAACAGGCAATCAACATAGAGCATAAGGAGTAGACAAAGTGATTTACCCCTGGTATTCCAAATAATGCTAGTGAAACAAGGCATGAAAGACAGTTCAGTATCCACAGAATTCTCTTATTTTCCTGCAAGAAAATCATGTAAAATAGAATAAATTCTTACCTTAATCTCACACTCAAACTTCCAAGTAAGAGAACTATAATGCAGAAATTATATTTTCTAGAAATATATATATATATATATATAAGAAATTGACCTTCTTCTGCTCTATTTGCAGACTTTCAAAGTTGGTCATCCTCTCACTGTCCATAACCATTCTCTTCAGTTACTGGAGGTCCAATTACGTTTCAGAAACGTCTGTGAACAAATGAAACAAAATGACAACACATAAAACATATTCTACAGGCACGTTTTGCGCTAAGCAAAAGAACTACGATACTGTTGGCTATTAAACATATTAGACCCCCGCCACCCTGAAGCTGTAAAATAACTGTTGGCTATTAAACATATTAGACCCCAACCACCCTGAAGCTGTAAAAGATGGTTTCAACAGAATGTCAATTCATCATTATATATATATATATATATATATATATATTTTTCTCAGCTTATTCGCATTTTTTGTGATCTATGTTTAAGTTCGGGACAGCAACATTACCCTGCAAAAGCCAACAATGTTTTGATGCACTCCCACCTTGGAAATCAGGCAACTTCTCTATGTTCAAAAAGTTCCTATGACGGAAAGGTTTTGGTGGGAGTAGTTTAATCAAGTAAGATAGATCTTTAGCAATAAAAATCCTTTAAAAACAGCAGAAAGTAGTAATTTTTTTGAAGGAAATTCAGAGTGTAACAGTTCCAGCCCACCAGATACTAATGCTAAATTATTATGAAGAAAAGTGTTGTGGTCAAATAATGACATCTAAAGACACACCAAAGTTGAAAGCTGCAGAATATAATATTCTAGTATCTAGGATTGGATCATGTGGGATTAATCTTTTTCACCGTTCACATCCAAAATTAACAGCACCAATATAGCCTGACCGAATCATGAAAAATCAAATCGAAAAAAGACAAGAAAAATGTGGCAAAGAATTTACAAATTCGTCCATGAAAAGAAAGCCAAAAGAAGAAGACAACGTTCGTCATCGATACACATAAACAAAGGAACCAAGAAACACCCTGATCGAGATGAGAATTCTAACTTACGCGACAGACTGAGGAGGTTGGTCAATGCAAGTTCAAACTACCGGCGGCAGAAATACGGGTGGCGCCGGTAGGCGGTGGCGGCGAGCTGATTGACGGTGGCTTTCCCAAAATGCCAATGGACACGGCGAAGGAATGACGTAGCCACCGTCCATCTATATAACACATTCAACGTCTTTCAGAATTTTCTCTCAATTGACTTTCAAGATGACAAGAAGGCTCTGTAACTGTAGTAGTTTTGGTCCTTTTCTCTCCTTCATTGAGATCACGACAGTGCCTTCTTCATAAAATCGTAATTTCTTTTCTTCAGCCCTCTTAGATATAATTAATTAATACCTCGTGTTTTCTATTCAAAAAGTTTTGTGAAAGGCAGAGCTGAGAGATTTTATTTTTTTATTTTTTTGCATTTTTCTGTATTGTTTTTTTTTTAAATTAAAAAAAAATAAAATAAAAGAAAATTGTAAGGTAGTACTAGTTCTTTTGTTTCTTTATTCTAGAATTCTTCTTTTTTTTTTCCCTTTTGGTTATACGATTAATATTTTTATATTTTCATGATACTCCAACTTGTCCTAATTATAAGAAATTTTGATATCCTAAATTCAACTTAGACCTTAAAAATATTTTTTAATAATTAAGAGAACATAATGAATATAAAAATATATTTTTAAAGTTTTTTTTTTTCAATTGACAAAACATACTAAATAGAACTTTAAGACAAATTAAAATGTCTTATAACAAAAACTGAATGAGTATAGTATAACAGGATAGTGACAGCCGTTGATCCTACGTTGCAGCAACAATTTTATTTCTAACCAGCTGATAAAAAATGTTAGATAATCACCGTCCATAACTTATACTTAATCTAAACAATCTATTTTCTACACATCTAACACCTTTGTCCAACTTACAAGCTTCCCGTGAACACCCAAAGCAATATAAATTTTGATTATAATTTTAGTCCTCCACGTTATTCAGTTTCAACATTCAATTCTTACCGGTATATATAATGGTTTAAGTTCTAAGAATGCACGTAGTTACTATGTACAAGTTCCTAAGCATACATGATCTTGCAACACTTCCAAAATGGTGAAAAGTAGCACTTCCAATAAGTCTTCTTTCTACACTATGGTAATGTGCCTAAAAAGTTACAAGTTAGAAATCATTAATCTTTCATATCATATAACATTATCAAGTTCATTCTAGCATTTCTTAATTTCTAATAACAACTTCAACCTAATGCTGAATTATGAAACATCCCTACTTGTTACTATATCTAAAAGCGTCTTGAAATTTTCACTTGAGCTCCCATTCTCATCAACAGCTTTCATGGCATTTTCTTTGAGCTCATTGAGTTTGCACCTCATCTTATTGCTCCCATTTTCACTTGAATAAACCAAATCTAAAGCATTCACCATCCCCTTTTTTGTGAACACACCGCCTTCAATTCCCACACCAATTTGCCATACATCTTCAATCACTCTCCTATTCAACTTTTGGTCCCCAAAGAAAGGCCTACAAATCATGGGCACCCCACAGGCTACACCCTCCATCACTGAGCTCCAACCACAATGAGTCACAAACACCCCAATTGAAGAATGTGCCAAAACATTCAATTGAGGAGTCCATGGAACAACTTTCCCAATGCCATTAGTCCTTTCAAGAAAGCCATCTAACAAGGGATTTTTAGGGTCATTCCTAAATGACCAAAGATATGGAATTTGCTTCTCTTCTATTGCTTCTGCTAGTGCTAATAGCTCATCAGGTGGAGGTCTTAGGAAGGTGCCAAAGCTGATGTACGCGACGGACGCAGTTTCGCGGCTATCTAACCACGACAAGCATCCAAGTTCATCTTCTAATTTTTGGGAAGGTAAAACCAGAGGACCAATTGTGAGAACCTTTTCCAACTTGGATCTCAGGTCATTTACTACGGTCGTGTCCATTCCTTCGAAAGAATTGATAACAACTGCCGTAGCTCGAGGAATCGCTTGGATCATGTTGTACAGCATTTTAGGGAATGGTTTGTCCAAATGTCCTTCTAAAAGCTCATAAGGCAAATCACTAACATGGATTGCCTCCATTCCTGGAAGAAAATCAAGGGCCATGTCTTGATCACTTTGTCCTCCTTCACCTCCTGCAAAATCAATCACTAATCAAATCAAATCGCCAAAATAACTGATATCATGTTAATGACATTTTTATTGTTTCAATACCAAAAGAAAGATTCTTGTCCTGTTTCTTAAATTTCATGCAACATTGGAGCAATGCAATTCATGTTAGTCTAATTACCAGCTGAGGCCAAAGCTCTGTTGATCTCATCGGTATAAATATGCACCGACAGCGAGCGAGGTCCGGCAGTCCAAAATGCCAACCAAGGGATACCCAATTCATGAGCAAAATCAGCTGAAAATCCCAAAAAAGCATCCACCAAAAGGCAGCTTATCTTCAATCCGGTCTCCTCTTCAACCTCAGCGATGCGTTTCTTGAAATTATCCGGCGTCGCATCAAGGAAAAAACCAATGGGTTCCAAGGGATTACCGGTAAAAACACAACCCTCTGGAGTTCCATCGTCTACGTCGTATGATTTGAAGTTGTTATGTCCTTGTAATAACTTGAACCTAGAACAGAGTTTCTGATTGGATACATTGGTGCTGAAGAATGAAAATTTCACATTGGGTGAAGCTGGTGCTAATTTCTCCACAAGATGGAGTAGTACGGATGGGTGTGATGCAAATGGGAAGGCTAATACAGCAACATGACTTCCCATTTTTTTGCTGGAATTTTATTGCCTGAAGATTCAGATTCTACTTGTTCATAAAGATAATAATAATCACATTGATTTTTCCTCCTTTTTTTTCTCCTATTTTTTTTGGGTGGTGCAAGAGTGTGGGTGTGTGTGTGTTTGTGTGTGTTAGTTGTGCAAAAAAGCTCCATTGATTTAGCAGAGTAAGCGAAATACAAGGTAGCTATTTGGACCAATTCTTTCTTCATTCTCATGTTCAACATTTTCTTTTGCATCCAGGAGTGAAATTTTTGGAAGGAAAAAAGCCACTTTATATACCCTAAGAATGGGGTGTCTCCAAATTATGTACCATAAGAATTGGTCTCACCAAATCATGTACTCTATGTTTGATTTTTGTTGTTTTAAGTACTTTTAAGGGCAAAATGGGAAATTAATAAAATTTTGTCCTAAACTATTATGCTTTTGCCCCCAATCTTCTAGAAAAAAAAAAAACAAATTGCACCATAAATTTTATTAATTTTACCCAAAATTTATTTTTCACTTAGATTTCAACAAATTGCGCCGAGATTTTGGGTCAAAAATTTCCCACGATTTCCAGTGTTTATTACTTTGACGTACATATTTGTTTTATTTTTGTGATTTTTTCTTTATTATAAGTTTAGTTTATATTTTTATTTGTCATTTTGCATAATTATTTTAAAAAATATTTTTTATTCATTTCTTTTTTGTACTTTTTGTTTAAATTCTTTGCACTTTGATGCAATTCAAGTAACACAAAAAAAATTTTATTTTACGCGAATTTTAGGCGAATTAAACCAAAATCTTAAAAAAAAAAATGTGTTCCTAGAAATGCAACAAAGTGCTAAGTACCTGAACAAAAGTAAAAAAACGAAGGACTAAAAATATTTTTTAAATAATCATGGGAAGCGAAAAATAAAAATATAATTAAACTTATAATAACAAAACTCACTAAATTAAAATAAATATGTACGTCAAAAATAATAAATACTGGAAGTCATAGAAAATTTTTGACAAAAAATTTAGGTGTAATTTGCTGAAATCTGGATGAAAGATAAGTTTTTATAAAATTAATAGAATTTATGGTGTAATTTGCTCTTTTTCAAAAGTTTTGGAGCGAAAAATGTAGTAGTTTACGACAAAATTTTATAATTTTCCTTTTTGCCCTTTTAAAAAGTACCTAAAAACAATAAACTTCAAACATAGGGTACGTAATTTGGTGAGACCAATTGTTCGAGTACATGATCTGGAGACCTCTTATTCTTAGAATATATAAAGTGGAATGTGATACAATGAATTCGGATCTCAATCAACCGTATGATATTGTGAAATCGTTTGTTACCAAGGTCTTTTCATTGCCGTGGATCTCTATTTTTGTTTTAGTTATCTTTTTAGTCTTGAGCGTCATGATACCTTATACATGATGATTGCAAATTTCCGGGGCCAAAAACGAAAGTAGTAATTATATAGATTTGAATTATGGCATCAGAGTAAAACATAAGGTTATATCCATTTGATAGAAAATGAACCACGATCCTTCACCCTTGTTCGTAAAATTGACAAACACAAATTTACAAAATGCAAAAAAATGCCGGCATTACTACATCCTCAACAGCATCGACTCTGTTTCAGTAAGGGTTTTGGAGTTTCCGATTAATTATTGCAACAACACTATCCGCATTTTCTTATTCTCTGGGGAGAAACAAATGCGATTATTCAGCTGGAAAGGAAGAAGTAAATTTAACATATGTAAGATATTGTGTATCAAGTTGCTTATATATATCGATAATAAAAAAGTCATAGGCTTATGGACATTATATTAATCTGAAAAGATTATTTGGGGTCGAAGTAATCCTAATCTTTCTAAATCAAAAGAGAAAATCGATTAGGTGATTAGCGCAATATTCCCATTTGAGCGATGATCAAATGAAAACCCTGCTAGGTTCAATGTACAAGAAAAAAAAAAATTACAACCGGTACCGTAGAGTGAAGATTTGAGTTTTATGGTTAACATAATCAAGAGATATAAGGTGCTTATCCGCCCCAAAATTATTGTCGAGTTTGAGTATTCATTTTTAGTACAAATTGAACTAAAAATGAAATTTCAAACTGAACAATAATTTGAGACAGAGGGAGTAGCTTTGTAGAGCACAAAATAATTATTATGGGACTAAGAAAGTATCATTAGTACTATCTTGTCCAAATTTCTTATCATTGGCAAAAATCTTCTAAATGTGTGAAAATTTTAAGCACTTAATATAGATTTCGTAAAGTTAGAAATTTGGACAAGGATGGTACTAATAAATAACAATACTTCCGCAGTCCCATCCAAAAAATTATACTTCAATATTATGTCATTACATGTCAAAGGCAAAAATGTTTGAAATGCTAATTAATTATACTTATTTTTCTCTCTCTCATTTTAAGACGAAATAAGCACTACTAATAATTTTTCTGTTTCTCTTTGTCAGCTGTTCAATTTCAGTGGAAACTTCAAATTGAAGTTTAAAGTTGTTCCGTCAGGGAAGTGCTAACCAGCACGATTTGAGAACGCGTTTTGCTACCTAAAATTCTGCTTATACATATATCGAATTGAGCAATTAATTTATTGAGGTTAAGATACGGTATAATGAAGAATGTACAGTACTTAGCTATTATAAAAAGCCTTTCATTGAATTTCGTACATTATATGATTGGGGAATTCTGATTGTTTGGTAGAAACTGGAATATTTTACTATCCGATATAGTATATTTTATCAAAATTCAAATCTTCATCCCAAACTTTATTCTTGGTTAAACTAACCACTTCCAATTTTGACTTTTTTTTTTGTTTTTTCCCCCTCAATCCATGCTGCGAAATTCCGGAAGAACAACTATGATTTAGAATTGTACGAACCACCACAAGTGTTTACAAATTACAACCTTAGTAGGAGTCGAAAAACGGAGATCAAACCATGACTGAAATACGATGATGCCAGTATTTATTTCATTATACTAAAAAATAAAAATTAAAATCAGTAATGAAGTAAATTAAATCAGTAAATCAAGTATCCATATGAAAAATCAAGTCAAATTATAAATGTCGCCTACTTAATGATTTTCTCATGATTAACATGAAAAAAAAAAAATCTATTCCTTAAACTATGCAGAATATTGATTTTTTATTTGTTATTTTCTTTTGGTTTGCTTTTAACATGACCATTTATTTGTGGAAAAACAAACATCGTCTTCGAGAAGAACATGTCACTTTCAACCTATTTAAAAAAATGAAAAAAAAAAATTAGTGGTTGAGAAGTCAGATTTCATTCTGTTATTCTGAGCTTGTCGAGGGGAATTACGATTTCGTCCGCTAATTCAGGTTGAAGTCATTACCGTCGATCTCGGCGGTTCTATAGACGGCGGCGATATTAAAATTTTCATTCCATTCAGTGCATTCACCAACAAAAAAAACATAGATTAATTCGTAATTTTTTATTAGTAGCACAGATTAAAATTTAATGTAGGTTTATTATGTATTCGTTAGCAACCAAACAATGTTATAACTTATACCATCTGCGAAATTCTTGTTTGGACATCAACTCATTTTACATTTTCACTCATTTTACCTCTTAAACACAAAATCTAATGGAAAAGAAAACATCATCCAAACAACTTTCTGATTTACATTTTAAATTCCAACTTGAAACACTTTTTGTTAGTGTAATGACCATTTTAGAACTACAAATAGTTCAGTGACAAATTTGGCAGAATTCCGTTGAGTGATTGTTTTTTGAAAAGTTCTTTTTTGCAGTGACTATAATTGACAGTATTTAATTGTTTAGTGATGACTCATAATTGATATTTCAAAATGTAGTTCAAAATACTTTTTTTTAAAACCAACATCCAAACTACTTTTTGCTTAAAATACCATCCAAACAACATTTTTATTTCCCATTTAGTTTTCAATTTAAAACACTCTCCACTTTTAAATAGTAAAATGAAATGTAAGTTGACGTCCAAACAATATAATTTCTTCTAACAACCTTGAAGATTGAAAATTAGCCTTTGAAAGCATCCCAATTCGTGTTCTACTTTTCCTTTTCTGTTTTTCTTTTCTTTCTTTTGAAATCTGTTCAAGTTCGGTAAAGTGATTCGTTAATGGTTTTTTTTTTAAAGAAAAGATAAATTATTAATGTTGAATTTCTTTTCTTTTTCTTTTTTTCTTATGTACATACAATCATGTCAGGCACTAGTAAAGAGAACAGTTATTATTATCGACGATTATTATCTTGTTATACGAAAGGGGGGAAATTTTTTATACAAACCAAAAGGATATATTAAATTAACAGCACCAAATTTCATAGAATCAAAACCAGAGAATTATAAATTGTGAGAGATGTATGTGTTAGGTTCGTGAACTTGCCTTCCTGTGTCAGCATCGCCGAAATTGACTTTCTCATCGAAGTTTTTGTTATTGTGACAAATAATTAACCTTATGGAAATGTTGCTAAAATTGACTATTGATTACTCCTTCTGTCCCAAAATTATTGTCCAATTTAAGATTTCACTTTTAATATAATTTTAACTAGAAATAAAAATTCAAACTGGACAATAATTATGGGACGGGGGGAGTATTTGTTTTTGATAGTTATAAGATTGGTGTCCGGCCGTTGCACCTTTTCAGGTCAAATCACCGACAACCTGCAAACAAACACGAGCTTTTTGAGATATAAGCACTATGCAGAATTGCGGATAGTTCAATCAGTGCAATATACAGTTCTGTGATAACATTATCAAACGACGTCAAGTAAGCGTTCATGAGGTTATGAAAAATCAGCTCTATAAACTAATCTCTCTTGTAGTGGCATAATTAACGCCATTGTCACCATCTCTTGATTCTCTTCATTAAAATGAAGCATTTGGTATAAAATCCATTCGGGAAAGGGGGAAAAAATTATCGTAAAAGAAAAGAGAGAAATCCAATAAAAGTAAGTTTATTATCAATAAGTTTCGATCAAGGACTCGATTCAAACCACGGTGAATTCTAAAAACTCTTAAGAAAATATTTCCTCAATGTAGAAAAATAATTTACTATATCAAAAGAGAATTTTTTTTTTTTTCTTAGTGA